CCCGTCCGCCCCGGGCTGGGCAGGGCGGAGCTGCCAGCATGCCGCGCCGTTTCCTCGGGCCGGGTCACTGCTCTGAGGAAGCTCGCAGCCACCGGCATCACGGTGGGAGAAGGGGGGGAGGGGCTTGCCGCTCGCGCAGCCAGGAGTTTTAACACAAGCAATCCCTGAGGAGGGCGGAGGTTGAGGAGGTGACCTGCTGCTCTCGCATCCTCCCTAGCCGAGGCGGAGATGCTGGAAACAGGGGCAGTCCCGGCCCTTTCTGCCCTCCCTGACACAGGGACTCTTACTGCAGCGGGGAGTCCGGGAGTCGGGCTGCCCTGCAACCTCGCCGCAAGGCGGGAGAGGCACCGACCGCCCGGCGAGGGAGCTCGGTCCCAGCTCCGTGCCTGTCCCGCTCCTTGCCCTCTCTCCTCCTCACCATCGGCCCGGTTTCTCGTCCCGCGATGCCTCCCAACCTCACTGGCTATTACCGCTTCGTCTCCCAGGAGAACATGGACAATTACCTGCGCGCTTTAGGTAACTCCATCCTCCTCATCCCGCTTTTTCCTCCCCTTTTGCTTCCTTCTGTCTACAAAAATGTCAGAGTCCCGCTTTTTCCTCCCCTCTTGCTTCCTTCTGTCTACAAAAATGTCAGAAGTCGGGAAGGGGAGGAAGTGGCTTGGGAACCCTTTGGTCCTTCTGTCTGTGGCCATCACTTTTGCACTGTGGTGGGAGGGGGGGTGGACATATCATGGCTGGGACTCCCTGGCTAAGTGTAGCGATGCAGCTACAGGAGGGACCTAGGTAGTCCAGAGATCTCCCCTCCCTCTCATCCCCCAGATATCAATGTGGTCCTGCGAAAACTGGTTTGCCTCCTGAAGCCTGATAAGGAGATCATCCACACAGGCGATCACATGGTCATCCGCACGATCACTTCCCTGCGAGACTACGTTATGGACTTTGATGTGGGAGTCCAGTTTGAGGAAGATCTGGGACCTGTGGATGGACGGAAGTGTCAGGTGAGCAGCCCAAGCAGTGCAGTTTGACAGTGGACTGGGGTGCACCAGAAGTTCAGGGACTGGCTCAGCTTTTGATTCACGAAACAGATGAGAGCCCAGCCCAGAGCTGGCATGCCCCTGCACATCCAGGAGTAAGTGGTTCTCTAAGTAAATCACTCACAGCAAAGGGGATGAGTACTGTACTGCCAGAAATGCAGTACTTTGGGATCCAGAGGGTGCTATCCTCTCAAGCAAAGCCCTGAAAAGACATCAGCCCACTTGGCAGTACTCTGTTGGACTTGGAAGACAGAGGGTCATTCACCTCCCACAAAGAGCATCGGTCCCACGGAGCCACCAAAGAGACGCCAGCAGGGACTGCAGTTGAAAACGTGTCTGATAGGAATGGTCAGTGTCACCTCTGGGGCCCTATGTAGTCAGGACCCACTTGTCTTGAGACTGTATCTTCCTCTCTCCTCCTTTTTTTCAGACAACTGTCTCCTGGGAGGGGGATCAGCTTGTGTGTGAGCAACTAGGAAAGAAGAGGAACCGAGGCTGGAGGCACTGGCTGGAGGGGGACCAGCTGTATCTGGTGAGGAGGGGTACAGCGCAGCTCACTAAATTCCAATTGCAGTGGGTGGGGGCGGGGGGAGACACACGGTGTGAGTGTTGCAGGCTCTAAGCCAGCTGTGCGGCTTCTGCCCAGCTCCACTTAGACTTGCAGCCCCAGCTCCTCGGGGCAGCCAAGACTTCACACAAACATCCGCATCCAGGGGTTAAAAGTTAACGCAGCTCAGCAAAGGCAATGTCCCTGACCTGCAGCCTGACCCTCTGGGGCTTTGGGAGGG